TCCACAATGCTGTTGATATCTAAGCTAGGCGTTTGAGAGTCATCTCAGACTCCTCCTTCCTCACACCCCTGGCATGCTCTCCAGGAAGTCCTGCCTCCTGAGCCCCTCTCTTACCTCTCCACCATCTCCCCTCCAAGTGGCCTTACCTTGGTCAAGACTTTCATTCCTGTCCCCTCAACCCCTGCAGTGACCTCCTTGCTGATCTACCTGTCCACCCCTGCCCATGTGCCATCCATTTTCCACCCTGCAACCAGGGTACCTTTTTACCATGCATATCTCAAGGGCCTGGAGCATGGTGAATGTCCCATTAGTAAATTAATGATAGCTTTGATCAGATGATGATAGCTTTGATATTTTAAAAGATCAAAATCTAATCATGTGTCTTTGCTGCTTAAAAGGTTTCCCTGGTTTTCCCTATAGACCTCAGGATAAAATGAAAGTCCTTAATCTGATATGGAAAACTCTTTCTGATCTCTCCCCTACTCGCTCTGTGAGCTGTACTTTCCACACTTCGCCAGTTTCATACCTTTGAACCCATGGAGCCAAAGCACAGAGCTGTCCCAATGTGCCGCACTGCTTCCTGCCTGATTCTGTCACTCCCACCAGTAATGCTCCTGACACTCCCTAACTACCATCTCGTCCTCAAGTGTTTTACCAGCTCAGGATCTTACTAAATTTGTTGTTCCTCTCTGTATTTGCTGCATAACAAATCAAGCCAAAATATAGTGGTTTAGAACTAGAAACCCTGTTATGCCGCAGGATTCTGTGGATCAGTGGAGTGGTTCTTCTGGTCTGGGCTGTCCTCACTCACATGTGTGGAGCTTCAGCTCTGACGTCCAGGACAGTCAGGACAGTCAAATGCTTCAGGGCACTAACTCAGACTTCTTTCTGTGGCAAACTCAGACTCCCTGTGGCACAAGAGAAGGCAAGCCCCAGCATACAAGCACCTATAAGCAAAGGTTGGCCTTTGCTTATACCACATTGGAAAATGTCCACTGGCCAAAACCAGTCACATGACCAAGCTCAGCTTTAGGGAGAAAGGATGAGAAAAGCAGCCGAGTCATACTGCACAGGGGATACCTGTTAGGGTGCAAGGTCATTGTGTCTACCTTGGAAAGTATCACAGGACCTGAAGTCTGTGTGGTAGAAAAACTCTTGTTTTGTGTTCCTGATATCTACTTCTCCCTTCTTTCTTTTGAAGAACGATTCTCTCTTCTTCAAATCCCTCCCTCAGGCCACAGAGATGAGTAAACTGGATCATAGTATCACATCCCCTGGACCATCGTGATTGGTCCAAAGATCAGGCATGTGACTCAAGATAGGCCAATCAGGGGCTGGGGATTTAGCTCAGCGGCAAAGCGCCTGCCTGGCAAGAGCAAGGTCCTGAGTTCAGTTCCTGGTACCAGAGAAAAACAAAACAAAACAAAACAAAAAAAAAAAGATAGGCCAATCAGAGCTCTCCCCTAGAATTTTAAAAATGAGAGCTGAGAGTAAACAACCCTTTCTTCTCAGGTGACAAAACAGGGAAGATAAGCCCAGAACTGAGAGCAATCATGGAGCCACCAAGCCTATACTCGTCCATCTCTATTCATCCCATACTTGCCTTACATGAGCTAATTAATTCCCCATTTGCCTAAGTTGGTGGGAAGTTCTATCATTTGTGACCAAAAGTGTCCTGTCTACCTCATCTTTCTTGTTCCTAGGCAGAAGTGAGTTTACCTCAGTTGTCCCACCCCTGTAACCACGGTTCATCTAGCTAGCAGCTGCTCACTACCTGACATTTGTCAAGATGTGGAAAAGTGACCAACAGTGACCTGCAACAGCCAGGAAGGAAATCAACAGTGATACACGAGTGACATAACTATTTCCCTGTTCCTGTGTGAAGGAGAATTCCTTTTCAACTTGGGCTCCAACAAGAAAATTGTTCTTAAAACCAAAGAAAACAGATAATAACTCTTCCCCATTATTACATCACTGGCAGAAACAGATTCAGAGCAGGCCACTCTTCCTCCAGATGTGCATGCAGGAAGAAAGTGAGGTCCTGAAGCACGAACAGAGGAGAAAGACCTCTCTAGGAATAGACCGATGAGGCTTGCAATTGTAATTCTTGTTTGATAATATGCTTTATTCTTTTTTAATGGTCCCATTTGCCCTATTTTTTTAACTGAGGAATTGGATATATACAATAATCTTGATCTTGGTTTTGGTATATGCACATGTATTCCTTGGTGTCTGGCTTCTCTTGCTCAGCATGTTTCTGAGAGTAATTCACTTCGCTGTGTATATCAATAGTTTATTCTTTTTTTATTGCTGAGAGGTATACCATGGTGTGAATGTACCACAATGTATGGACAATGAGTTGTTTCCTCTTTAGAGATTTATGAATAATGCTACTCTGAATATTCTTGTGCTCGGCTTTGCTATACACTCAGGAAGGAAATTGCTGGATCATAGGATAAGTGTATATTTAGCTCTCATATTTAAAGAAAGAGGGTTTTGTCTTCACAAAGTTTCTCCAAGTATTCAATCCAGACCTCCCCTTTTCCTCCAGCAAGTTAGATGCCAGCTGAACTTACCCTCTATTCTGGTGGCACTGGATGGTCCCCCTTTATATCTGCCACAACAAAGTGCTTTTCTATTTAGTTTGTGCTGTGCTTTACATGATCAGAGTCACACTCTATTGCAAACATTGCGTTAGGCCTTATTCCCGCTCCCATTCCCCATTAAACTGGATTCCCCTTGAGGGTAGTACCCTGTCATCCCTGTAATCCCCCTGCTCTCCATATAATATATAATTTATGCATAATGCTAAATAATGAGGGCTAATGTACTAGTTATCCGTTGCTGTGTGACACATATCCCAAAGTTTAGTGGCCACTTTGCAGTTTCTGTGGATCAGCTGATCTGGCTGAAGGTCTTCCATGAGATTGTAGCCAGGTTGCAGGTATCTGTGGGTTTCACTGGGGCTGGAAGGATGTCTTTCAAATTCTCTCACACTAGCTTTTGGCTGAACATGCCAGTGCCTTGCATATACTACTTATAAAGTGCATGTTGGTTTCCATAAGGTGAGGCGATGAGGAGAGAGGGGTGGGGGTGGGGGAGCCGTAGTATCTCCTAATCTTTGAAGTCATCTATGGCTACTTCTGCAAATTTCATTCTTTAGAAATGAGTCACCAGGTCTAGCTAACACTTAGGAGAAGGGAAGTTAGGTCCCACCTCTTGAAGGGAAGAATATTAAACAATTTGTGGCACATTTTAAAGTCATCACTCACAACCGCTAACATTTACTGACTGCCTAGTATGTGCTGTAATTTGTGTTTATTTTATAGAGTATTTTTTTAAATTCTTACAGCGATCTTACAAACCAGATACAACCCTTGATTTTTCAGACAAGAAGACAGGTACTGAGAGATGAAGTCATTTGGTTCCACAGCAAATGACAGAGTGGGGATGGGAATCCGGAGTCAGCCTCCAAAACCTGTGCTCCTGGCCACATCAGTGGTATTACGAATGACAGCTGGCAGAGGAGTTCATGAGTCTAGGGTTCTCTGAATGGTGGCCCCTCGAAAATGTCCCCATCCTAATTCCTGGAATCTGTCAACATGATCTGACAAAATCTGTGACGAAGTTAAAGAGCTGGAGAGAGGCATGTACGCTGTATTATTCCAGGTAGATCTGAAACCACAGGTGGCGTGCTTTGACCCGGTGATAATAGAAATTAAAAACCAGGTCAAGAAGTGTAGAACATAGGCAACGATTTTAGTTGAGACAGAAGAGAAAATGGGGAAGAGACCTCAGCTTGGACACAAGAAGACCTGAAGGGAACATAGCACTGATGGAGATGATCAGGCTGGCCCATCAACACAGGAAAGAGAAGCTTTTGTGGGGTTGCTGTGGTGACTGGGGTCTTGATCATCATCAGTTCTGGTTCCAAGAGGTGGTTTCAAAGAAATCCTTGTTGCATGAGGGGGCAATGAGATGACTGCTTCCCCTGGGGGTGCAGGGGTGCTTCAGCTCCTGTCAGGGAGTAATTGCTCCCACTTCATGGTGAGAGATCTCATGAAGGGGTGATCTATCTACAGCAGCTCTTCTAGAATCTAAGATGACTACAGGTTTAGGACAATGACTGTGGAATTCTAGGCAATGCTTCAGTGGGTCTGGAACAGGATCTCATAAAAACTGGTAGTTGAATATTCCTGTAAATCTTGAGAACACCTTGGTTACTCTTATTTGTTGTCCTGAGTCTTGAAGGGAGATAAATAGGTTAGGTAAATTTAGAGAAAAGAACCAGTTTTTAGACAGCTATGTCTTAGGTAAGTAACATGCCTACATACAGAAATGAGCAGAAATAGGCCCAAAGTCTAAGGTAATAATGGAGACAGAGCTGTGTGTAGTAGTGCACACCTGTAATCCTAGCACTTGGGAGACTGAGACAGGAGGATTGCTGCAAGTTCAAAGTCAGACTGGGCTACAAAGTGAGTTCAAGGCCAGCCTGAACTGCATACTGAAACCCTGCTTTAAAAAAAAGAAAAAAATCTCAACTCCCCCAAATCAAAACAAAATGTCGGGCATGGTGGTACATGCCTGTAATTCCAGCATTAGGAAACTGAGGCAGGAGGCTGAGGCTGAGGTTGAGGCAAGAAGACTGCCATGAGCTCAAGGCCAGCCTTGGCTACATAGTGAGCTAAAGCCAACCTGAACTACAATAGCAAGACCCTGTCTCAAAAAAAATTAAAATAAATATAGAGGGAACAGATACAAAATGAAGGCAGTGATGTCAAGATTTATTACACTTTAGCAACCCGTTGGGCATCTGCAGGCCTGTTAATTACTTTGTCATTGTTGGGACAAAATACCTGACACCCATAAGTTAAAGGAGGGAAGGTTTACTGTACCTTACAAGTTGTAGAGATTTCAGTCCATAGTTGGCTCTCTCCAAGGCAGGGTGGCCTGGCAAAGGAGAAACAGTCCCTGGCAGGACAGGCAGAAAAGCAGCAAGCAGCCAGCCTCCCTTTCCTTTTATTCCACTCAGGTTACAACCTATTGGTTGGTGCCACCCACACCCAGGGTGAGCCTTCCCGTTATCCATATCCAGAACTTTGCTAAACCGATCAGTAGACTAATTTAGTTATCACACTCCCTTAATCCATATACACACACCCTAAATCCAGCCACCTCTGAAAATCTCTATTAACGTCACCTATGAGTGTATGAGGCTTTAGTGGAACATCTAGATACAAGCCATAACAAGGCCCAAGGGGAAAGTCAGTGTTTTTAAGCAAAACCAGCTTTTAAATCCCTATTTCAGGCCCTACACACAATCACATGAATCTTTTACAAAAACAGCAGGGGAAGTTTTGATGCAGAAGAGAAAATAACAAACAGATGAGAAGGGGATGTGAAGACAGAGGCAGAGATTGCAGTGATGTAGGCACAAGCAAAGGAATGCTGGCAGTCACCAAGATATGGAAGAAGCAAGAAATGGATTCTGCCCTGAGGCTTCCAGCGGAAGTGCTAGTGCCTCAGTTTGGGATTTGTAGCCTCCAGGACCATGAGAATAAATTTCTGTAGTTGTAAGCTACTACATAGTCCACAAGAAATGAATACCGAATGTAAGGGGTATCCCACATCTTCATCAGGAATGCTCTTGATGACCTCAGTGGACTGTCTCGGGCCCATTCACACAGTTCTTTTCCTTGGATCAGCTTTGCAAATAGTATATTCTAAGAATGCAGAGACATTAAAGTCAGGTAGAAAGCAGAGGAAGAAAATGATATAATAACCACCTCTATTGTTATCATTGAGCTTACGTTTTACTCTGAGCTTCCTGACAGCTGAGGCAAAAAGACAGTAAGGGTGGATTACATAATTTTCATTTTCTTGCTGAAAGGAAGCTAATGATGTTTTTCAAGAGACACTCATCTTTCTTCCATGTTATGTTCTGAGAATAGCTGAGCAAGTATGTCTCACACAATGGACCCTGGACAGGGCAAGAGAGAAAGTGCTCAACAATAACTTAGAGGAGATAGATCTAGGGCTGCCCTCATGTGGAGGTTCCGTGTGTCATGTCTGGATAAAAGTGACAGCCCAGCAGAGAAACACGGTGCTCAAGAATAAGCCCTCACATAGACTGGTGCTCAAGAATAAGCCCTCACATGGACACAGCATGCAGTGCTCACACCCGTCATCCTACAAGTGTTCAAAGAGCTTCTGGGAGCCGTGTGGGGCAAATAGGTAAAGAAGTGGAGATGGCTCAAGATTTTACAGCTGTGGGAACGGAGGCTTAGAGCAGCAAAGAGACTGTCTCAGGGTCACACACTGATGAGTGGGAGGGCTGGGGCTCCACGAGGCTTTAAGAACAGGTCTCCCTGGCTTGCTGACCCATGTTAATCCACACACCTCCTATTACTCTCAAAGGATTTCATACACATCTGCCTTACCTCTCCAGGCCCTGGGCTGTTGTGGGAAGGGCCCTCTCTTACACTTTTTGGAAGCCTGGGCTACCTGCCCAGGACTGGTGATGAAAGGTGTCCTGCCACACGTCATGCCCGCCTGGTGAGAGACCATATGCCACACCCTAGCCCTTTAGGTCAGGTTCCAAGCCAGTGAAGAATGGTCACCTAAAGGACTGCAGCTGGGAGTGTGGCTTGGGCTCAGATCCAGCACTGCGCAATAAAATCCAGGAAATGTAGGCAATGGCCAACCAGCCGAGGGCGTGGCCAGGGTGCTGTCCGCCCCGCAGTGCTGACCGGTCTCCCCTTGCTGGGAAAAGATGACCTACAGGGAATCGGGCTGGTCTTCCCATCTCTCTCACCCTTCCTGGCCAGAGGTTAAAGGGGTAAAGAACTGCCTCCTAGGAGGGATGGAAGGAGAAAGGACTGACTGCTTCTGTCCTCACTTCTCCCCACACTATGCCCAGGGCAGGGGGCTCTTATCCCCTAATTCCTCCTTTTCCTCTTCTCTCACAGCCCTGTCAACCTCTCTTCCACTCCTCCAGAGTCACTTGCTTCCTGTCTCTATATATTCTTACTCTGCTCTCTGTTACTTCCTACTTCCCTCCTTCCTCTTTAGCCACTAGCTGTACAACTACTCTCGAGTTTCTTAACCTGAGTGAAAGCTCTAACCTCATAGCAACTATAAAGCTCAGTGGTTGGTATCGAGAAGATGCTCAGTCCAAGTGCATTCTGTGCACCCCTTCTTGTCTCCCCAGATGGAAAGGAGGACAGGCAGGAACATGACATTAGCTCCCTTCGTCTCCACAAGGACAGTCCACTGTGCTGGTTGCCCACCAACCAGTGGAAAAACCTAGGAGTTTATCAGCCTCCTCTTCCCACACCCCAGGAGATGGCCCCTGGCCCAGAGCACCCAGGTGCACCCATCAGGTAACAAATAATTGGTGAAGCTCTCTAACGGATGGATCATGATTCACCATGCATCTGCTACATGCCATGCATGGATGACCATTTTCACATATGGTCATCATGAGAGCCTATGAACCAGTACTATTATTATATGCCCATTTAAAGTGCAAGCAAAAAGGTTCAGAGAGATGGAAGTTCACACAGATATAAATCGGTGAAGACAGGTTAGTCTGATCCTAATCCCATGTTCTTTGAATTAACTTTTTACCTGGGGAAACATAAAGAGGAACCTGAATTGTGTAACGAACCCTCAAGCACCTATCACCCAGTTTTATCAACCAACATCTGGCCAACTTGTCTCACTCCTACCTACACGCATTTCATGCTTTCCTCATTTTGAATCAGAACTCAGACATCATATAGTTTGTCCATAAGTATTTCAGTATGTCCCTTTAGAAATGTTTTGGGTATTTGTTTGATTGTGTGTTTGTTTGTTTAACTTTGGAGATGGAAATACTGTGAATGGAATTGTTTCCTGATTTCCTTCTCAGAAAGTTCATTATTAGTGAATAGGAAATCTGGTTTTTGTTTGTTCTGTATCTGTTTGTTGAATTTGTTTAACACCATCAAAAAGTCCTTTGGTAGAGTTTTCAGGGTCTTCTCAGTATAGAATCAGATCTCTGCTGCCTCTTTTTAATAAAGATAATGATACCTCTTTTACTGCAAAGCCCTTCCACACATATTTTCCCATTTAATGCTTATCTGCTCTTGAAGGTACACAGGGCAGGATATTTTCTGGAAAACTGAAGCTCAGAGAGGTGAGTGGACTCATCCTAGGTTACCCAGTAGTATAAGTTAAAGGCAGAGTTAAGTCCTGGCTCTGCCCCTCCACCCCAAGTTCCACGCTTGCTTCTCTCCTCCCTGGGCCTCCTGACAGCAGGTACCAGTTGCCAAGCTCAGAGGCTCCAGGGGGCCTGGAGGAACAGGCTGACAGACCCCCTCCAATGGTAGCCGACTGCACAGTGTTCATTACCAGCTGGAGAGCTACAGCCAAGCCCCTTTCTCTCGGTAACAACAGAACCAATGCCCTGGCACAGGCTTGTTTGCACGCAGTAGCTCCCCCAAAGCCTCGACAGCGGCCGGGGCTCACCGCCAGCCTCCTGAGCTGCACGCTCTAAGCATTCTGCACTATGGCAGATTGAATGCTGAGGCATGAAGTGCAAGCACAAAAGCCGGATCACTCAGTCAGCCCTATTCTAATTCTGCTTTTCACCTAAGTGCAGGAGGAGGGCAAAGGTCTCCCTGGTTTTCTCCTGGGAACCTCCTTGCCTAGCCAGCCCTGCACATGCAGGGAATGCCAAGGATTCCATTCTAAATCCCCTGGCTTTTATGGCTTTTATGGCTAATTCTTCCATTAGTGTGCAGGCTACAGAGGGTACCCCTCTGCTTGGTGTTCAGGACTGGCAATCTTCTCAGCGCCACCAACATAATCTATCATAGGTACCAAAGAGACCTAACTTCAGGGGAGACAAAAAACCTTTGTACCAGCTAATTCCCAAATTCCCTTGTTAGAGCTTTGCTTCTTTAGCTTTACACTATGTTCTCTGTTTAAATGCAACCACTGTTGCCACCAACACTGTCCATTAAGTTTTCTTCCACACCCTACATTCAGTATCCTAATAATACCTCTTATTACTTATTTGCCCATATACACTGTGGTAGTTCATTTCTCCATGACTTTATTCATGCTGTTTCCTCTGCCTGAAAAACCCATTTCTTCCTTCTTCCTCCACTATCTCCTAAGTGTGTCTCAGGACTCAGCGGAGACCTCATCTCCTCCAGGGAAACTTTCCGAAAGCCCCCTTCCCCTCTGTAGCCCCTCATCCCCCATAGCAGGAAAGGGCTCTTTCAGGGGCTTAGCTCAGTGTGTATAACCAGCAGACTAAAGCCTCTCGAGGGCGAAGATCTTGTGGCATTCATCTGAGTCTTCCCCAGGACTATGCGAAGGACCTTGCCCATAGCAGGGTCTCAACTTAATGTCCTTTTGAAACACTTTGTCTCCCCAAACCCTCACTGCAGCCCTACGGGTTAGCCCACTGAACAATATGGTTCCTCCTATTTTATAGATGTGGGGACAGACGTGGAGAAGAAAGGAACACCCCCAGACCCACAGTGCCAAGTGGGGAGTTACACTCTTACTTGTGTCTCTTGCCTCCCAGCCTTGGAAGCTGCTCCCACTGTCACCCTCGAGGCTGGCCCTGGATGCCCAGTTGGAGGTGACAAGGTAGAGCAGAAAGCAGCCTGTCTGAGCGCTTTCCATCCAGCAGTCAAGTTCAGAGACCCTTAGCACAGTCCTGGTTGCCCCTGGGGCAAAGCCTAAATCCCATATCCTGGCACCAGGGCCATCCCAGCCTCCCCCAAGCCCACTTCTCTAGCCTCTTCCTTCAGTCCCTCCTTACGTGCTTCTGCTGAGCCACACCTACCCGCTGCCCCTTCTTGGGCTCATCTGAGTATTCAGAACTTGTACTTGGTGCTGAAACTCTGTTCCCATCATGTCCCAAGACTCCAAGATTAGAGCAACTAGAAAAGGTTGGGCAGATGTCCACAGGAGTCTTCCAATGTCTGGGTAACAAAGTAACGAAGTGCTCAGAACAGCAGATGGATCCCTACTATGTTCATGGAATAGTACACTCTTGAGAAGTGCTGACAGCCATTCCTCCACAAAACAACACCACAGGCAGCATGTGGTGTGTATCAAGGCGCTATGCAGAGCATCTTACACACGGAGCAGAACTTCATCCCCACGGTAACATCCAAAGGCAAGTTCCATTTTTTCCTCTGAACTGTAGTGAAGAGATCTGCAGCTCAGTTAATGAACTTGGCTCGATATATACCTAGAAAGTAACAGAACCAGGATTCAACCGCAGCCTGTGCTTTTTGCCAATCTGCGAGTCTATCTTCACTACATTTTCCACCAAAGAAATTCAAAATGCATTAGCATAGTAAACATCCTGAGAGTTCCTGAATAAATTTAATTGTTTTAATGTTAGTTGAGGCTGAAGCAACTCCTTCCATACCATTATCTTTTTTTCCCCTGGTCCTACTTCTGTCCCACAGAATGCGGATGTTTCACTGAGCACAGTTTATGAAATGCTGACCTGGAAAACACCAACTCCTCTCGTCCTAGCAACCTGTGAGCACAGGATGGAGATGAAGGAAGCCTACAGACCTCTGTACACAGCTCCTTGCATGTACATGCGAGCTTCCAAGGCCAGCATAGTGGCCGGCACTCTCCACAGGTTACACAGCCAAGGGAGGGAGGAAGCAGATGTCTGACTTACTCCCTGGGTGAAGAAAGGCCCTGACCTCAGGCAGGCTGGTGGGGTTGGCATTTAGTACCGCCCCGAGATAGAATTCACACACCTTCCTGTAGAGGTCGCACAGGCTTCGGGAGATGGAAACAGGCAGGAGGGCTGTTTTCCTGAAAAAAAGTCAGAAGACGCAAGGACCAGAGTCAGACTTTACCCCGGATCACATGAAAGCTTACCGCTCCAACACAAAGGCCCAGAAAGGGGAAGGACTTGCCGAAGGCCAAAGAGCAAGTTCAAAGCACAGGTGGAATTAGAACCCAGCCTCCAGCCTTGAGCTGCAAGGCCTGGCTGGCTTCTTTACAGTGGCTGATCTGTGTGTTGGTCTCTTTAGCCTGGCCGAAGACCCTGTAGACAGCATGGAGGGTACTCACCTCGAGCGTGACTTCCCCAGTTCTGACAGTTAGGGCCAACTAAACGTCTAAGTGAGTGAGTAAATAAAATATTTGATTTTTAACTGAAACCCCTATTTCTCCTCTTGATCATTTACTGTACAGGGTCAGGATTAACTTTTAGCTGATCCTAAAAATTACTTATCTTTAAAGAGTAAGCATTTGCTACCAAAGGACTGCGATAGTACTTACATTGTGCTTAATACATATGTGTGCATACACACACACACACACATACACACACAGGTGTGCCAACCCTTTGTGTAAATGACATAGCAGTAAATATAACAGATGCTGTCTCTGCTGTCTCTGCTGTCCCTGCCTTCATAAAGCTTATATTCTCGCAAGACAGATTGTCATTAAACAATTCATTCCACAATTAATTGGGCAATTAAAATAACAGTAATTGCTACATAGGAGAGGTAGAAAGAGCTGTCCCGTGATTACCTTAAGCAGAGCAGAAAGTGCCAGGTAAGGTGCCAGATGCTTTGAGAGCTGACATTGGAACCAATTTTGCCATAGCCACATCCAGCAATTATTTAAAAGAAAAAGAGCAGCGAGAAAGGCATTCTTGTTCATCTGAGGGAAATGAAAAGATCTCTTATTAACACATATTCCTGGAAAATAAAACCACCCTAGAGCGACTAAAGATATTCAAGAGTTAACTCAAGGAGAACAGCTTCCGAGCACTTCCAGTCTGCTGGAGCTCTGTGCATTGCATAGGAGTTATCATCTCCATTTAAAGAAGAGAAACAAAGGGTCAGAGAGGCTCACCAGTTCTTCAAAGGTCAGCCACAGCTCCCAAGGTGGACCAGGATCCATGCCTGGCTAACGTGACAGCGGTGCTTGGGTCTCTCCCTGCAACACATCGTAACTTCTAACCTGAAAACTCATCATTTAGGAATTGAAACTTCAGACTCTGACATTACCAAAGTTCTTGTCAATGCCATCTTCCCTCCATGGGGCCCTGGAGAAAAAAAACACTGCATTTTCCAGGAACCAAGAGGATCAAAATGAGAAGTTCACATAAGATACAAAACATGCTTCTTGGGGGAATGGTTAATTACTAGAATGATTGCATTCCTTTCTCCTGAGCTACAGCGTTCTTGAACAAAAAGCTTTAATATTTCATTTATGCAAATGGAGAAACTATTCTCTACCTCTCAAACAAGATGCCAAAGTGAAGTCTCTTCTCTGCCTTTCTAGGACTTAAGCAAACATTTTCCTTCTCTAAGGCAATTCCACCTCCAGGTGTAGCCAAGTGTCACCAAGAGTTTCTGACCCCAATTTCAGGAGCAAAATCATTTCTTACTAATCCAGTTTGTGCACAGTTTAAAAGGGATACCAGAGCTTCGTTTTCCATTTGAAGAGAAAATGGTTCATCTTTTCTGGGTTCTTCCTCTATCCTGGAGACTACTGGTCAACCACATGTGCCTGAGCCCAGAAATGCCTTTTCTCATCAACAGCCATCTCTTCGGAACACTTTCCAACATCCATAATGAGCCCATCTCTGGAATACAGAAGTGTTCCTTGGCTGAAGCATTTCTTGGCCAAGGTGTCTTCCTGGAAGCCTGCTCTTGGAAGCCTGCAGCTCCCACTACCCAATGTTGGTCCTACCACAGTGGTCTGGGAACCTGACGGTCCACTGTGCTGCTGCTTCCCAAGCGGGCATTCGGCCTTGTTGAGTGGGAGCAGGGAGAGGGCACCAGGACAGGCGTGTACGGACAGCCCTCCTCCTAAGGAGCCTGCCTTTCAGGTTTCCCAAGAGCCCTATGCCCGTGGATTCTATAATGAGGAAGGATTTGTTTGTTGAAGGATCTTTTCAACTTTATTGCTTAACTCAGAGGTGAGAAGGAGGTAGGGGCAAGATGAGAATTATTCTCTGTTGGCTTCTTGAACCATCCAAATTTAAGCTTTGTCTGAAGCTGCCCTGAAACAGTAGCCAGGAGAGTTTTAAGGATGGGGACCCAGGAGTTCTTTCCCCTCTCTAGACTTCAGTTTTCCATCTGTTCAATAAGAAGATAGAGTATTAGATCTGTGCCTCAGTTTCCACATCTGTGTGATGGGGGCTTTATCTGACTTTACCCTCTCAATTACAGAAAGACCGGTGTAGAGTAAGGTGACATCATCTAGATCTGAGAACTCAAGGCCCCATTCTGATGGTGGATGTGTCAGAACTATAAAGCAGGGGCAAATTCTCAGGGCCTTTCAGATTTCCTCAGTCTTGGTTACCAACCCGTTAGTGCAACAAATACAATTTATTTTAATTTTTTATTTTGAAAACCTTTTTAATTTGGCAAGGAATTGCAGAAGTTAGAAGAGAGTTCCTCTGTATCCTTCACCCTCTTTCCCCTGATGCTAGCATCTTATCTAACCATAGCATAATGATCAAAACCAAGAAATTACCATTGTTATAATATGATTCTGTAAAATACAGGCTTAATTTTGGATTTCAGGTTTTTGGATTAAGAATGTTAATCCTGATAATATCTATGCAGATATTCAAAAATCAAAAGAGCTCTTCCACAATTAATGTATTCATTATGTATCATAAACATGTTCTCATAAAAATTTTTAAAATTTTTAAACTCTAAAATTTGAAACAATTATGGTCTCAAGCATTTTAGACAAGAGATACTCAGCCTGTATATGCATACAAATGTGGTATACATGTAATGTTAGCTTGTGCACACACACCCATATTTATTTCTGTATCTATCTGTATACATACTAAAATAAGTATAAATTCAAATAGTCCCTCCAACTCCATCGAGCCACACTGGGTTCATTTGAGTCTTTTTTCTGTGCTCATTCTGACTTCTTTTTTCTCTGATAATGAGAAACTTGGCTCCCATTATCCACAATTCATTTACTGATTTGTTCAACCCTCAGATGCATGCAAAATAGCATCAGTATGTTAACCTGTACCCTCCTGAGAAACACATTTACCAACTAGAGTGCGGTGTTTATACAGTTCTCTTTTGTCTGTCACCAAACATTTTCAGTATCTAAAAGAAAGCCTAGATACAAACCCCAGCCCTGCCACTCCTTGGCTGTTGGCATAAGGCACTCGCTTAGCCTCTTCTTTGTCAGTTTACTTATTTATAAAATGAGAGTAATGAACTCGGTCTTGCCTGCTTCATAGCCCTGGTGAGAGGAGATATAAAAGTGTTCAGAGGAGTCTTCTAGCACTCCCTCCAAATCAAATATCATCACATCTCAGTCCCTGAGCTCTGAGTTTGCACCATGCAAAGGGCAGCCCTGACCCCTGAGTCTTGTCCTGCTCTACGGCACATACAAGGACACAAGTGTCCACTCGGTTCTGCATCCAACTCAGTGAGTTTGAGCCAGCTAAGCTGGGAGGGCATCTGGTCTTTGCCTAAATAAACACAGACATAAGAGGCGGTGGCTCCTGGAGGCTCTTGCTACCTGCCAGGGCATTTCAGGCCACCAGTCCAGCCACCTGGAGTCAAAGCACATCAGCGGCCTTTGTCCTCAGGCCTTGGGGTGGGGGTGGGAGGAGATCCCCAGCTCGCTGAGATGGGGAGCTTTGGTCTCACTCTGAGTTTCAACTGATAGGGACCCTTCCCTTCTTTGGGCCTCAGTTTCCCTATCTGTAAAATAACTGAGTTAAATTAAATCAGCATTCATACACCGGTAGCTGGATCCTGCAGGCACATGTGTGTTCCATTTGGCCACAAAGCATTTTTGCTGTATTTAAAAAGAAGAAAGAATAGGATTCCCACATACCTCTTCTTATTCTCACCCAGTTTCCATTAGTAGTATCTTGTGTTATTGTGGCACTTTTTTTTTTACAGTTGATGGGCCAATATTTGAACATTATTATTAACTAAAACCCATAATTTATTTATATTAAGGTTAATTCTTTTTAAGTACTGGGATGCAACCCAAGCCCTGGAGCATGCTAGGCTCGCACTCTACTCTGAGCTACATCCCAGCCCCTAGGGTTCATGTTTTGTGTTGCAGAGATCTGTAGGTAGTGAGAGACACACAGTGTCATGCATTTTCTGTTACAGTAACATATAGAAGTTCATCTTAAAATCCCTTGTGTTCCATCAGTTCTATCTCCTGCCTTCTTCCCAAGCCTCTGACAACCGCAGATCATTTTACTATTTTTGCCTTTTCCAGACTATCATATATTCTGGAATCAGTCAGCATGAAGTCTTTAGATGGGCTTCTTTCACTTTGCAATACACATTTAAATTCCATCTATATCTTCTTGTGGCTTGACAGTTTATTTCTTTTTATTGTTGTACAATATTTCATTGTATGAATGTCCAACAGTTTATCTATTCACCATTAAGATTTTTTTTAAAGATAGGATTTCACTGTATTGCTCAGGCTGTCCTTGAACTCACTGTGTAGCCCAGGGTGACCTCAAACTCATGATTCTCCTTAACCTCCCAAGTGCTGGGATTATGGGCATGCACCGCCATACCCAGACACCATTGAGATTTTAAGCTGGAATAATTTGCCAGCATTGAAGCAGGGCAAGCATTACACTGAAAGGTTTTTGACTTCAGAAAAAGTGGAAGATTGGGTGGCACTGAGTCTGACTTCCCAATCGGCGACAGCGGCGGGACTTGAACAGCAGCAGCCCTCTTTGGATGGCTCACGGGGACTTTGTTCACTGCAGAGCCCTCCTGGCCTCCTTGTGTGAACACTTAGGTTTTGATAAGCGTGTAGACCATCTTTTCATCTTGTTAACAGAGTGCAACCGGGCAAACCTGCTGATGGTTTCCATCTGCGCCACTTCCTAGACCCCAGTTCTGTCTCTGTCCTTTTCTGTCCTGTTCCGTGTCCTGAGAGATTGATCTGCATCTCCCAGGCTCCCTTGTTGGCTGGCTTCCCGGTGATGCTGTAGAAGGCACTGGTAAGTGACTGGGATGGAGGTACAAGGGGAAAAGGACCACTGTGTCACTTTACTCCCTCCCTGCTTGGACACCTGCCTCTGACAGTAGCTTTAGCTCTCCAAGCCCATGGCTCCGGCTGGGCCTCTGTCCCCCACCGTCCCAGTCCTTGCTGAACAGTGGTCATCTATGCCTCCCTTTGCTGGCCCCCACTGTGGCCAGCTCTGGGCTTCTCACCATCTCTTGTTTATTCCCTATCCCTGTTACTCCTCTGTGAGTAGCCCTTTCATTAAAGTCTCTTTGCTTGAGCCACCCTGGTGGAGTCTGTTTCCCATTGAGGCTGAATCAGCAGGTTGCTTATTTTTACCATACCTAAGCTTTCTTGTCTAAAAGCAAAAATCATTTTAGTGCCCATTTCTATGGGGATGATAGGAATTAAATGAGAAAACATCTGTGTGATCCCTTGTTCAGTGCCTGGCATATTTAAGAGTTCAGTGAATGTTCATTATTATCATTATCATCATCCTCATCAGTATTGTTAGAATTTATAACCCTGTAGCTGCATGATCTCCATAGGTTCTTAAGCATAAACAGAATATGAATAAGTGATTCACTACACAAAAATTGTTGTCAATAAATCTCCAGAGATCATCTTAATCTTTTGATCTTAAAGTACAGTTGAGGCTTGGGTAATGTGAATCATTAGTTATCTTTCACTATTTATAAGCAAGAGGGTTGTGCCTTTCAAGGAGAGCTTTGATACCCACACTTTCCTCATATGATGTCAACCACGTGGGACTTTCATCCTCTTTTGTAAATAACAACAAATATTGATGGAGCACTTTCTCTGTGCCAAATAATCTGAGTCTTTATACACGGACTTGTGTAACACTACACATTTCTGCCTCCACATATGAGAAAAATGAGAGGTTCAGAGAGACAAAGTGTCTTGTCCGTGGTCATGTGATCAACATATTTTTAAATAGGGACTAAGCCTATGTTTTCTGGGGCCAAGACTAGTGCGTTTTCCACTACACATCCTGTCACTGTCAGGGCAAGAACTCTGTCTCAGAATACCCACTGAAGTTTCCTCTCC